TTATTGGCCCAAGTATTGTGATTATTGAAAGAGAGAAGGAGAGAGACAGAGAAAGACAGAGAGACAGAGACAGAAACAGAGAGACAGAGAGAAACTCAGACACTTAGCCCAAGATAATTGATCCAAAAATTATGGGTTCCAAGAAGGCCAACACTCACTTAAATTTAGATTTGGACTCAACTCCTGTCACACGCACAAAAATGACTACTGTTTCCTGGACACCCACTCAGCACACACAATCGGCCCCTCAGCTCTGCCAGCCCGCAGGAACAAAAGGGATTTTGATTCTGATTATTTTTAAACTTTAATGACAAATCCTTTCCTTCTCCACATTAAAAAATAAAGGCTGTGCAGAGTACCATTAAGGGACTGCTTGCTGCTGCTTGATTCTCGGAGGCACTTACGTTGTTTAAATTTTAATTTCCGGGTTGAAATTTTTATTGAAAACATCACTATCTTTCTAAACAACAAAAAAAAAGTTTCTTCTCTTGTCACTGTACTCGTTTGTCGTTTTACTCATTCTCACTCTGCCTCAGTGGGAGGTTTTCCTGCTTCTCCAGGGCTCCTTCTGGAAAGCCCTGTGATCTAGATTTGCTATCCCTGCCCAAACAAGTGGTCATTATTACTATTATTAGGATCATTATCTTTGCTGTATAATCCAGAGCCTGTTTTAGGGGCAGGAAAAAGACTTGAGCCTTCTGATCACTGAGAGGCAAAGTCTCTCCAACTATGGTCATGACCATGACTGTGACACTGATGATGATGGTGATATCATTATAGTGCTCATCACAAAACCCTTTAATAGCTCCTGAGCATTTCCCATGTGCCAGGTCCAGCTGCAGCACATCAGCTTCCTGCTTTGTTTAACTCAGTGGGAGAAAACTAGAGAAACCCTCATTTTGGAGAAGTGACAGAGTAGAAGGGGTCACTGCATTAAGGACAGGGAGATGCGGCTATGTATCACTGGAAACTAATGTTGACAACAATAGATGCCATTGGAAAATCAGACGTGAAGGATTCAGTGAGATCTAAAGTGAAATGTTTTTAGCAAGCCACAGGCAAAAACCAGGAAGATTTCATAATAAAGACCATTTGAGATAAATGTGGAAAATGGAGCAGGATTTAGACATAGAGAAAGTAAGAAAAAAGCCAGAAAGTATCTTTAATAAAGGGAAAAAAAGTAGTATGTTTAGGAGAAACTGGCAGATCTGTTAGAGGAAGAGGAGGAATGGAGGTGAGGCACGACGCAGGGAGGCTGTGGTGAGTTCTTAGACGGTCTTGGACATCAGCCCACTGACTTTGTTCTTCCCCACTCTGGTAGTGGAGTCATCCAAGCATTTTAACCAAGGGAGCAACTACATTGGAATTGTGATTCAGAACGATCACTCTAGCAAAGGGGGAAAGGAGATTTAGGGGAGGTAAGGAGGAAGGCTGGGAGACCAGAAGGTGACTTTGGCAGACACACTTCCCAACTCCATTTCTTGTCCGACCGACTGTGCTCTGTCTGGTGGCTGGCCTTGGATCTAGGTCCACCACTTTGGACTTTCAGGTGGCCCCAGGGGGTCCCAGTTTGACCCTCTGATAGCTCTCTGCTGCCCCCACCTGGCCAAGTAGCCCCTGCCACAGTTCCCTCAAAGGCCTGGCCCCAGGCTCCAACTCCTGTGAATGTCACAGTAAGGAATACAGCGACATTCACAGGAGCTGCCACTCCAACCAGCGCACATGCTCTGTGTGGGGCATGTTCATGGCTTTTATAAGCATAAAGTGCTTACCAGTAACCTCACAGGAAAATGGGCACTAATATTACTTTTTCTCAGCGATGAGGACTAAAGCATAGAAATTCTCTGTCTTCAGGGTGGTAAGGTGGGAGGGTTTCACCAGGTACCCACTCAAAGATCTGGAATTCCTGTCTTTGAGCCGCTTCTGTCTGGATCTTGTGGGAGGGCCTTTCCAGAGTCCCCAATGGGAGAAAGTTGAGATGCAGCTAGAGTGTGGCTGTCTCAAGTGGTGGCCTGGGCCTGGGCTGAACCAGCCTGAGGAAAAGGGCAGGACTGTGGGACCAGAGGGAAATGGGAAGCAGGAAGAGAAACAGAAAAAGCCAGAGAGGAGCCAGGCGGATATCAGAGCTCTGCTCCGTGTACAGAGCGACTGGCACAGGGTTTTAGGGCTGGCTTGTGTATTTGTTGTTTTTCTTAAACAGACAAGGTTCTTATTGCTCCAAGAAACCTTTCCAACTTGATATTTTGGGGTTAGGACTCTGGCTTTTAGAAAAGTCCTATTAAAGAACCTTTCAAATCACCTCTCAAGTCAAGAGCAGGGGCCCTGAGGAGGTGGGAGACAGAACAGATCATTTTAATGGAAGCACAGTGGGGTGAAAAGAGCCAGGTTGGGCCAGCTCAGAGTCAGCAGGAGGGAGTGGCCTGGAGATGGGTGGGGAGAGGCAAATGGGAACTTCTCTCACTTCCCAGTTTTGCCTGGGGCCAGCCCTGGGCACGGTGATAAGGTTTCTATAAAACAATTCACAGGAAGCCTAGTAGGAGAGGGCAAAGAGGCCTACCTTCCCATCGTTAAGTGCATGCTGCCAACTGAAGACCTTGCTGAGACCAGCTCAGGCTATGACTGTGTCACACCAAGTGTCACACCAAGGAAGGGAGTAGGGGCTAGAAGCCTGTGTGTTTGCAGTGTCACTATTTCCTTATGCCTAATAGGTCATCTTGGTGTCCCAAATGCTTCCTGCCTTCTGGATGATGGTGAAACGCAGCCACAGCTGAGCCCCTTCTCAGACAGACTAATGAAAGGATGTGAATAAAAGTGGGAAGGAAACCTTCTGGGGAGTGTTACTCATATTGTGTTGGCAGAAAATGGGGACCATCTTAAGATCAGAGAGTTTTTTTATAAGGATATTTGTAGGCCAAATAGGATATTGGCTTATGCCTCAAATCTAAGCCCTGTGAACTGACTTCTCTCCTGGGCTGTGAAGTTCTGAGTTAACAGAATCTTTGTTTCCATCTACTCGGATCAGACCCCAAGACCAAGGGAAGAGTTGTGGCTATGCTACAGCCCAAGCTGTGGAGGGAGTCCGAGTGACTGGCCTAGCTGATTACCACTGCGTACATTGGAGATCATGTCGCAGGGTACCACCTGGCCAGCGGACAAACCAACCTTGGACAGTAGTGGTCCAGTTGCTGGCCCCCTGGTACTGCAAATAGCTTATGGTTCCTTTAGTACATGTGTATCCAGGTTGGTTTGCACAGAAGAATGTGCAGAAATAGATCTCATGAATGATATATGGAAGTTATTCTAGGAGTAGGAGAAGGAAGGAGGGAAAAAAGAAACCAAAGGACATACATAGAATTTTCTGGAACTATAAATGTCAGAGGTGACATAAAGGAAGTTGATCACTGGAGAAAGGAACCAATGTTCAGATAATAAAACAATTCTTTTATTTCTAAGGCTATCTTCTTTTCTTCAAACTGCCCATCTGTAAAAAGAGATTTTTCAAAGCAGAAGATTTAATGGATCTGCCAGTCTCTTTATGTGTAAAGGATAGATCTGTCCTACTCATTGAGATTCACTGAGAAGTGCTTAAGTAAAGATCTTGTCAATACAAAACAATTGAACTATGTAGGATTAAGAATTAAATGTAGGGGATGGAGGTTTAGCTCAGCGGCATAAGCACCTGCCTTGCAAGCAGGCGGTCGTGAGTTCGATCCCCAGTACCCATAAAAATGAAAAGACCAAAAAAAAAGAATTAAATGTAAAAGAATCAAATCACACAAATTAAAATATGATTATTTGAATTAGAAATGGATTTTTAATTGTAAAACCAATGTAAGTACCAAAAGGAAAAGTTGGTATATAAAAATATAATACTTCTGTATGAGAAAATTAGTAAACAAATTAAAGTAGAAAAATAGTAATTAGCATAAATGGCAATGAATTAATTGCCTGATTGTATGAAGATTTCATAAAAATTGATGATTAAAAACACTAAAGTCTCAATGGGAAATATGGAGAGGATATGAGCATGCATGAAAAGGGGGAACTATATAATTAATAAATATTTGAATAAAATGTCTGCTAAACTAATCAAAGCAATAATTAAAATAGTAACTCAATGTTCTGCTACCCACTTAGCAGAGATTCAAAACTATATCTTATTGCAGGGCCAGTAAAACAGCTGCCCATTTATAAAGCAGAAATAAATTTATAGGGATGTTCGTTTTTTGGAAAATAACACAGGAATAGGTGTCTGGCAGTTTGTTACAGTACCAGTAGAACAATTCAGAATTTAAAAATGTTCATGAAAATATTTATCATAATTATTAGGAAACCCTTATCTTTATGTGAACCATGGCTTCGTATGTGTTGATATATATCGATTTAAGGATATTTCTAACAACCCATCCAAATGCTACATCATTTGGGTTAAAGTCAAACTTCAACACACAACTACGACCATGTACAAAGGAGACAAAGCTAAAAAAAATAGCACCACAGCACATGTGTAACAGTGCTGGTGCTTCTAGTACTTAATGGACAATTCTGAATCATTCTGATTTTGTTTCTTGTTTCGTCGTGTCACTTTTTTTCTTTAGCCTAAATGAACATGTATTATTCTTATAATATAAACAAAATAAAACAGAAAGCATCAATGTGAGATGTTGTTTGAAAATGACTGCAACAGGTAAATAAATAAATGGGCTTGGGAGTTAGGGGAGAACGATGTGGGGCTGAGGCTTCTTTTCTCTCCGTTCTTCCCCTGTGATATGGCAGCTTTGCGATGGGATCACTGGTTTGAGCTTGAACTCTGAGGATGGGCCCTGGCTGCTGGAAACCAGTTCCTGTGTGCTCCTGAAGCTATTTTGTCTTAGTATCCCAGGCACCACCAAAGGGATCCTGATCATTCTCCTGGAGAACTGCCCAGTAGGCTGAAGGAAACCTTTTCAAGTTGACGCTCACAGTATTTCTTCTCTGTTTTCCTGGTGTGAATGAGGAAGCACTTGGTTCCAGCTCTTGATGGTTGCCATCCCACAATGCTGAAGGAAACCAGCCTGTGAGAAAAATCAACACAAGAGGAGGACAGAGCCTGGAGGACTGTGGGGGAACTGCAGAGCTACACCCTCAGGCTTTTCCAGTAAGTGAATTTACAGTGCATTCGTCTGGCTTGAGTTTTGTCTTGTTTTTAACTTGATACAGAGTGATGTGAGAGACTGCTTTCCACTGATGATCAGAACAGCAGCAGGAGGAGAGGGTAAAGATAACTTGAGGGCATACATCTGACTTCACTGTCAGGGGAAAGAAGAAGGGCCCAGAAACCAAGATGAGTCTCAGAAGCTTATGATGAAGAAACAGGTGTCAGTGGCTTAGAAAGAAAAAGCCCTTTAGAAATGATGACCTGTGTAGCACAAACATGGCCTTATTGTCTCTTCTTCTTATCTCTTCTCTTCTTATCATCTCATGTCTTCTTAGTCTTGAAATTATGTGGATGTGGACTGGGAAGAAGAAAAAATGCTAGTAATGCTAATGTTTCCCAAGAGGGATCTTATGCCCTTGCTTAGCATGTCAACCAGGTTCCAGATTGCCTGGGAATCGCGGTGTACTTGCTGGCCATCTGGATGAAACCTGATGTCGTGAAACACGTGGTATATGCCATGGTCAGTGGTCCATTCTATACTGACAGCTGACTCCACCAATGAGCTACCAGTTAGGGATGAAACCAGGGGAAACCCTCAGTTTTGGGTTTTTGGAAGAAACTTCTTAGCTCATCTAAGAAGTCTCATTTTGAAATTAAATGCACATTACCGAATGTGTGTGTATGTGTGTAATAAAGTGGTAATAAAACAGTGACTTTTCTGTTAGACACTAAGTTGCTAAGAAATCTCTGCATACCTGGTAAATCCCTACTCAGTCTCCTGGACAAATTCCATTATTCATTTAATAATTTGCTCGTTTTCACAAATGTTTGTTGGGAACCTATCATGGGTCATGTGTAGTACTCTGGCTGGAATATACACAATGCAAATAGTAAAATATATTTCTTTACTCCTTTCTTTTTTTTTTTTTTTTTTCTCTTCTTTACTCCTTTCTAAACACCAAGACTATACTAAGTCCTTGGGTCACATTATTTTATTGTATTTCACCTACCGAACATGCCCACTACATCTCAGAGCTATTATTTATTTCAGCTTTACAGATGAGGGAACCGAAGATCAGAGAGTTAACTTATCCAAGGGCACACAGCTTGCAAGAGGTGGAAACACAATTCAAATCAAAGTTCAAATACACTTAACCTTCATGCCAACCGAAAGACAGAGGGCCAGATAATGAGTTAAATTCCCAGGGTGATCATATTGGGGAGAGAAAGTGAGAGGTTACTGATTCTGTTGGGGAATGCTTAGAAGAGAAATCATCATCTAAAACAATGTTGATGAATACAAAGAATAGTAGGTGTTGAGGAGGAAGTAGATTCCAGCAGACAGAACTTGAAAGAAGATTTGGAGATGAACGAGTGTGGTGAGCCTGCCTCTGAATGAGTTTGGTGTGACTATAGAGACCAGTTCAATTGCAGCAGGAAGAAAGATCATGACAAAAGCTCTATATGTAAAACTTTACCTTGTAAGCGAGGGCTTCTCTAAACAGGGGTTTACTAGCCTAAGACAACATGATCATATTTGTGCTTTAAACTCAGCTCATACGTAATGTACCAGCTGGATTAAAAAGGGAGAGACCAAATATATAGACACTTATTGGTGGAGGCTCTCCAAATGCCAGACACCAGCAGTAAGACGATTTTACCCACCCTTACCCTAACTCATAGTCATTAGCTGCTAGCTCTAATATGGAGTTCTGGATTTCTAGAGTTATGCCTAAAAATGGAAAGGCAGTGTAATATAATAAAGGTAACTTTGGTATCAAACTCTCTTGCCTTCAAATCTTGGATCTACCATTTATCTAATAATGTGTGACTGCCAAAATTTACTATTCTCATGTAGAAACTAGTAAAACACCTAACTCATAGGATATTAGAAAGATCAACTGAGTACTTATATAAAATGCCTAGCAAAAATAAATACTATAAATTATAGTTCCCTTCTCTACCTCTTCATACTAATAAAAAAAAGGACAGACTGGTACACACAGATCAGTTATAAGACCTGCTACATACTGACCATTTTCAAAGTTGAACAAAAACATTTAGACTTCTGACTCCATTTTTAAATTCTATTTACCAAATTTTTTAAGTATAGTATTTTTCTACCATTCTAGCTATGCTAGTCAGTACAGACCAGCATAGACTAGCCCATGCTGCAATAACAAATTAACTCTGGTAGCTCAGTGACTTCATAACATCGAAGTTTACTTCTTGTTCACTTTATATTATCCTGACCAATCATCAGCGGTAGTGTTACATCATCAAGTCTCTCAGGAACACAAGCTCATAGAGACCCTGCTCCTGTGTGACTACACAATTTGAAATGCAAGGTCTTCAAGTGTCCTATGGAATGGAGGAGGAAAAAGAGAAGGCACACAGGATTGCAGCGATTCTTGTGTTAGAAGGGGCACATGTCACATCCACTCCTGGCCCCTTGTTCTGAAATAGAAAATGGCCTACTCCAGCTACAGGAGATACTAGGAAATGTAAGACAGAACACAGTATGGTGAGCTCTAATAAGTTGCCTTTCTGCAAAAACTATGGCCACAGAAAAATTGTAAAAAAAACAAAACAAAAAAAAACAAAGAGTTCTATTTTCTTCTGGTTAGGATTTCCAATCATTCTTTGCAAATGAATTTATTCTTTCTTGTGTTATTTCTCATCATGAGACTTTATTTCAGAGTAACTCATTATGAAAACCCCCACACCCTTTATCATGAAAGACTCTTTAAATAGCAAGAGGTATCTCAGAAAGAACTTCGAGATCAAACTCTTCATGGAAATTTGGGGTCTTGATTTGTTGTTTTTATGAGACATACATAGTGAGCTCAAGGCGTAGTGAGCTCAGGGCTGGCCTTGAGCTCACTATGTATCACAGGCTGGCCTCAAACTCCTGGTGATCCTCTTGCCCTAGCCTTTCCAGTGCTGGATTCCAGGCATGCACCACGACATCCAGCTATACTTTGTTCTGACTCTTGCTGCTTTACTTAGAAAGTCCCTATATGTGCTAGGGTTTAATTCAGAGTAACACATACACACAGACAGACAGACAGACAGACAGACAGACAGACAGACACACACACACACACACACACACACACACACACAGACTCCTATAAAAAGCATTTAACAATGCTTAGTCTTGCTTTGAGAGTAAGCCCAAGAAAAGGCGATCCATTTAAATGTTATGATTCATTCATGGGCACATCTGTAAGTCTTGGTGGGATCAAAGCAGGAATAGCTATATTTGACTGCAAAGAGCCATCTCATGCAGGAGTCAGTGAGGAGCAAGGTCAAGTGTTGCCCTGAGGGAGGGGAGTCTCTCAAGGTTGATCTGTCCTCAGAGGATTATAATGACCTGTGCCAGAGAGGGAGACAAAGGGGACATTGTTCTCCATGCAGCAGCAGTGCCAGCCACAGGGAAGAGGACCAGGGCTCTACAACGGCATCATGTGGTGGGGAGAAGCGTTACAGCAAAGACAGGGATACAAAGTGACAACAGAGTTCTTGTTCAGAAGCCCATGTTCTGGGGATCCCTTGCTCACTGTTCAAGCCTTCAGGGTTTTTGGCCAGTGGGTGGTGAAGCGCTCTAGAGTGGGATGTTAGTTGAAATATCTGCTTAGGGGTTAGAAGCTGGGGGATATTTGAAACTGAGTTTGAAGAAATGAAAGCCAGAGTCTTGAAAACGGCCAATTAATGCAGATGAATACATTTGATATACCTAATGTCACTACTCATGTAAACCACCAGAGGCAATTCTTAGCTCAACAACTTTGTTTACATAGTTTGTATTTCTTCTTATCAGACATGAAAAACCATATATATGCAGTTAGACACTGTGTATGGTGTGAAAACTATTTGACCTCTCTAAGCCTTGTTCCTTGATCTATAAAATAGATACACTCAATTGCCTCACTGGCTTAAATAAAACAATGTAATAGTATGCCTTTTACAGAGCCTGACATATAACAGATAATTAAACAATCATTGGCTTCTTTCTCCTTTTAAAAGATCACTCCTAAGGAAGAGAAATGCTAAAACAAAAATACAGGAATGAGGAACCCCAGAATTCTTACTGACACTTGCCAGCCCACCTGGGTGTTTGGCAAATGTCTCAGCACTTATAAGCAACTGATTCTGAAAGTCAGATACTACACTAAAGATACGTGGGAGGAAAAAACCATTGACCTACTTCCTGGAGAAAGGGAGAGATTCTGCCAAAACAAAGATGTTCCCAGAGAGTGGGTTGGTTTTGATAAACAATTAGCTCGTGGATTTCATTGTGTCTGGAGGAGTAATTGCAGCAGCATGTTCACGCCCCTGGAGTTCTGTTGTTGTCACATTTTCCATGATAAAATCTCCCTTGAACAAAAAAATGTGCTCAGCAACTTGGCTATAAAACAGGGCCCTGCTCTGAAGAATGCCACGAAAACTTTCATAGTTTATGGGTGACATTTCACTTGGATCAAAAGATGTTCTATTGTTTCCAACTGGCCTTAATTAAATCAAGGTGAATGAAATTGTATTGCCTTGGGAAGTATTTCATGACCACCAAAGTAGAACAACCCTCGTGTTGTCCTGTTGAGAACATTACTCCACTCAGCAGTTGCTAAGCATACTGTCACTTGCCAAATGTCTTTCTCTGTGCCAGCTAGCTGTTAGCTTAGGGTGTGACTACAGCAAGAGCTAGAACTAAGGAGATGTTTCATTATGATATAGTAGGGAAAGTGCTGAACTCAAGAGACTGATTCAACTATAAGCTCTTTTGCTAACAAAATTTAAATGTTTCAATCTCCCTTTCTATGACACAAAGTAATGGATTAAATAGAAAATAACTTTGAATTTTTGGGTCAGTACTGGTGGTAGAGCCTGCATTGAATGGCATTCTTAGGTTATGGTGGGAAGGAGCTTTATGCAAGAATAAAGGAATACTTCAACTATTCTGCATGGGACCATAGAAGAAGAATAGGAAGGAGGAGGAA